GCACAAAAACAGACACATAGATCAGTGGAACATAATTGAAGACCCAAACATGAATATATGCAATTTCAGCCACTTGATATTTGACAAAGGTGCCAAGAACACACAATGGAGGAAAGATAGCATCTTCAACAAATGGTGCTGGCAAAACTGTATCTCCCCCTGTGGAAGAATGAAACTAGACACTTTCTTTCACTTTGAACAAACTCCAAATGGATCAAAGACCTCAATGTGAAACTTGAAACTCTGAAACTGTTAGAAGAAAACATTGGCAGTAACCTACAAGACATAGGTGTAGGAAAAAACTTCCTAAATTGGATATCAGTTGCTCAGTAATTAAAGTCAACAATCAACAAGTGGGACCTCATTTGACTAAAAAGCTTCTGTGCAGCAAAAGAAACAACCAAGAAAGTGAAGAGAAAACCCACAGTGGGAGAAAATCTTCACTAGCGACACATCTGACAGAAGTTTAACATCCAGAATATATAAAGAACTCAAAAAAACAAAGAATCAAGCTGGGCGTGGTGGTGCACGCCTTTAATCCCAGCACTTGGGAAGCAGAGGCAGGTGGATCTCTGTTAGTTCGAGGCCAGCCTGGTCTACATAATGAGTTCCAGGTCAGCTGGGGCTACAGGGAGACCCTGTCTCAAAAAAGACCAAAAAAAAACAAACCAAAACAAAGCAAAAAACAAATAATCAAGAAAACAAATGACCCAGTTAGAAGATAGGCTAAAGATATAAACAGAATTTTCCAAAAGATGAAATAAAGATGGCTAAGAAACATCTTTAAAAGTGTTCAACATTGTTAGTAATTATGGAAATGCAAATTAAAACCACCTTAATATCTCACCTTACCTCAGTCAGACTGGCTAAGATCAAGACAACAAATGATACCAAATGCTGGTGAGGATGTAGATAAGGGAACTGCTCATTCATTGCTGGTGGGATTGCAAACTCATGAAACCTGTATGGAAAGCAGTATGGAGAACTCTTAAAAAACTAAAAATAAACCTACCATATGACCTAGTTATACCACTCCTTGGCATGTACCCAAAGAACTCGTCCTATTGCAGAAATGCTTGTATAACCATGTTTGTTACTGCTTTTTTCACAATAGCTAAGAGATGGAAGCAACATAAGTGTCCTTCAATTGACAAGTGGTTAATGAAAATGTGGTACATTTACACAATTAATTTTACTCAGTGGCAAAGAAAGATGAAATAATGAAAATTTCAGTTAAATGGATGGAACTAGAAACTATTGTACCAAGTGAAGTAACACAGACTCAGAAAAACAAAAGACGTATGTTCTCCCTCATTCATGGATCATGACACCAAATCCTCATATGTGAGTACATATCCTGATGTAACTGTAGGAACCAGGAAAATGGAAGAGAACCAGGGAGGTAAAGGGAAAGAAGGAACCCCAGAGAGAAGAAAGTAGGAGGCAGGTGTTAGTAAGGGGGAAATGTGTAAAGTGGGGGTAGTTAAATGGGAGGGGGAGAGGGAGGACTATACAAAGAACTATGGGGATAAAGGGGAAGAAGGAGCTCAAGAGAAGTGGGACCAGAGCAAAGAGAAATTATCAAGGGAGAAATGGGGAAAATGGGAACATTTTAAATGGGGAGGGTGGGGAGGGAGGATAAGACAGGGAAAGAAAGAGGAGAGATAAATAGTGGCTGGCTAGTATAAAAAATCAGGGAATTGTATTAGTCCAAAAACCTACAAAAAACTACACATACAATATCTCTACATGAGTCTGTGAGTACAGCTGGATACATAACAAGAAACAGTGCCAGGCAGGAGAAACCTTCCTTTGAATTCTTGGCCAGGGTAGTCTAAGAGACTCCCAAAATTACACAGGTTATTGCCACAGCCCTTGAATGCCTCCTAGAACTTGAAGATAAGACCCTATTGCTAAAGACAGGACATACTTTAGACCAGGATTTGCAGGAATGGAGCTGGATCTGACTTGGAAGCCACCTCCCCTGAAGGCTAGTTCTCATAGCCTTGGAGAGCACTACACAAACTGGTAAGGGAGAACATCAATTGATGGTCCAACCCCGGCTTCAAGGCCTAAAAACCACATCAATGACCAGCACAGCAAACACTGGTGCAGTAGTGGTACTTTTTATTTTGGGGGTTTTCAACAGCTACCTAATTGGACTTAAAGCCCTCATGCAACAGAGGGCCAGGAACACAAAAGGTCACAAATGACCAAAACATAGAGAATAAGAGTCAGCAGAGTGTGGGTCCTTGGACAGGACTCCTATATTAAAATCCACCCACACAGGGCTCAGGGACCATTTCAGAAGAGGGGGTGGAAAGAATTTAAGAGCCAGGGAGGAGGTGCATGACCATAGCATAAAGAGTCCTACAGGCTCATGGAACTCTTCTCATATGAACCTATAGCAATAGTGTCAACATGCACAAGACCCAGGCAAACTCAAGCAGACAAAAACCCAGTGCAGAACTATGGAAATGGACAGCAGGCCCCAATCTTAGTTGAGGAATTATTGGCAGCTGATTACTGCTCAATAAGGAAGAGCTGATCTTCTTAAAGGGAGGGACTCTAAATAGGCTGACTAGACTTCATTGGATAAACTTGCACTGAGGGACATCTGGGGACACTAACTTGACATGATAGGCCTTAACACAAATGACAGAATGTATGAATTACAGTGGAGGGACTGTGGGAGGAGGCCTATGGGGAAGGGGGTATAAAGATGATTAAGAAGTTCTGTGTGAAATAAACAAAAATTCAATAAAAAATTAAAAACAAAAATAAAATAGGGAGGCCAGGTGTGGTATCACAGGCATTTAATCTCAGCAGAGGCAGGCAGATCTCTGTGAGTTCCAGGCCAGCCTCTACATAATGAGTGAGCTTCAGGACAGCTGGGGTACAGGGAGACCCTGTTGCAAAAAGTCCAAAAACAAAACAAAACAGAAAACCAGGGGAAGTTGCAGAGATGGCTCAGAAGTTAAGAGCGTTTACTGCTCTGGAAGAGGACCCAAGTTGGGTTCCCAACATTCATGCCAGGCAGCTTATAGCTGCCTGTAACTCCAGCACCTAGGTGACCTGACACCCTCTTCTGTGTTGATACACAAATACACATACACACAGAGAGACTCTAACACATAAGCATAAATTAAATTTAAAAGAAAAAACATACAGACAGAAGCCAGCAAGATGGGTCAGTGGGCAAAGAACTTGTTGCATAAACCGGAAGACTTGAGTTTAAATTCATGTAAATGGATTCTTGGAATCCATGTAAATGTGGAAGGAGAGAATCAACTCACAAAGTTGTCCTCTGACCTCCATACATGCACCGTGACATGTAACTGCCCCCCTCCAATCATCACACAATAATAATAAAATCTTTAAAATGTTTTGAGGGGATGATTTATTACATAACAAATCCCATATTTGCCATCAAACTGGCAAGCTAAAGTTCCAGAATGGCTTGGGGCTGGAAAAATGGCTCAGGGGTTAAGAGTGCTTTCTGTTCTTCCAGACCAAAGTTCGGTTCCCATCACCAGGTTGGTTGGTCACAACTGCCTGGTAAATCCAGTTCCAGGGGGATCTGATGCCCTCCTCTGGCTTCCATGGGCACTAGTACACATGTGGCATACAAATCTTTTTTTTTTTAAAGGATGTTGAAGCCTAATCTCCTGAGAGTGTGTTTTCCTCAAGATATGACCTATAAAGGTGGAATTAGGTTAAAAAGAGGTGGTTAGGGTAAGCCTAATGTCTAGTGTCCCTATAAGGGAGGAGACACACCAGGGATGCCAAGCAACCAGAGAGCACAGCGTGAAGAGACAGTAAGGGTGTGGCTGTCCCTAAATCCAGAAGCCTGGCTGGAGGAGGGGTGGAAGACCATCCTCCTGGCGGCTGGATCTTCCAGAATTGTGAGAAAATGAATTTCCGCTTAAGACATCCAGACTGTGGTATTTGTCTACCGCGCTGCAAAGGAATACAGGATACAAATGTTTTAGTTTGCATCTGCAGCTTGCTCGTCCTGTCCACTATTTATTTTGTCTAAAATGCTGATGGATCTCCCCGCAGCTGCCCCTTCAGGCAACTCTAGAACAAATCTAATACACTCCGCCCCCTTCCTCTCCTACCTCCGGGCCCGAGGTCTTCCTGCAGCTAGATTCCTCCGGGTCATTTTTCACCTGGCCTCCTATCGCTGGTTTCCTCCGGCTCCAAAGGAGGCTTTTGGTCCCCATGTCATAGCCCTCGCCCCTGGGATAGCCTCCCTTCAGCTTCTACTGTCTCCCACGACTGGCACTCGGCAGGGGCTCGAACTTCTTTGGGGAAGTTTTGGGTTTAAACGTCCAGCGCTTGGGGAGGAAGCGTGAGTCTAGGGCTTAGAGGTGGCAGCACCCAAGTGCCGGGGAGCCCAGCCGCGCGCAGCTAGGTGGGTTGGGACAATGATGGGGCAGCGCCGCTGCGCACAGCTGGCTCAGGCTGGGACCCCGCGGGGAAGGGAAGTTTCCTGCCCAGCCTCCTGCTGCCCGGAAATCCCCCAGGCGCTCAGACTGCCGGCGGCCTGGGGTCCGAGGGCTGAGAGGCTGGGATGCATGGGGGTGGGGCCCCGCCCCTCCCCCAGCAGGTCGGGAGGAAGCAGAAGCGAGCCCGGCTCCTGTAGTCCCGCTAGAGCGCGGATCTGAGAAGAGAAACTCAGAGGCGGTGGGAGGTAAAGCCCTAGGACGCATCAGCCCGCTTGCTTCACCGCTGGCTCTTTGAAAGCTCGCAGAGGGTCCTTGCTTTTCTCCTGGCCCGCCCCTTCGCGCTGGACATTGGACAACTTCCCTCGCCGCGCCCTTGGTGCTTATCGGGGTGCGCCCCGCCCCATCCAGCTTTCCACTTGCGGAAAGAAGCCGGGTAAGCTGGCGCAGCGCCTGGGCGGGGACAGCACCTGACGCGGGACACGAGAAGCCACAGTACTGGACCGCTTTACCGGACCTCGGCCTGCTCCTGCGCCCTCTCCACGCTCCCAGCACCCCGATCCCCACCTGGACCCTCGGCTGCTGCTGCTCTGGCCCTGCAGTGCCTCCCGGGAATTTGGACCTCTCCTGCCCACCTCCACTACCCTGTGTTGGGTCCCTCGATCCTCGCCGGGCCCCTGATCTCCTCCCCAAGACCCCCATTGTGACCCGAGTCTGGACCCTTCCAACTGTCCAGGCTGGGCGCGCCATGCGGCCGGGGGCTCTTGGTCTCTGCCTGGCTCTCCAGCTTCAGGTGCTTATGCTCGCTCTACTGGTGCCGCCGGTGTGCGCTCGGAATCCCAGGGCGCAGGATGTGAGCCTGGGCGTGGTGAGCTGGGGTCCCGCAGCTCCTGGGATCTCCGGGAGGTTGGGGAGAGGAAAGGGGGTTGGGCGGACTCCTGGATCTGAGGAAGGAGGGGTATTCAAATGTCCAGAAGAATGGCTGGGGACCTGGATTGTTAAATCTGTCTGGAAGATTGGGGGCAGGGATTTGGAAGTATAGAGAGGAACTCAGATGGGAAGCCAGAGCCTAACCAGCTCAGTCTATAGAATGACTGGCAAAGCCAGGGCTGGAGGGTGGAGACCATGGCCTGTGTGTAGGACCGGGGCGGCATCCGTGGCTTGGGGCTCTGGCTCTGGATTCCCTGGAGAGCAGGATTTCCAGAACGGGGATGAGAAGGGAGAGCCCCATCTTTTATGGCTTCAATCAGTCCCCTCCGATGGCCTAGGACTGGCTGACTCGCTATGGCTACCTGCCGCCGCCGGATCCTGCTCAGGCCCAGCTGCAGAGCGGTGAGAAGCTGCGGGATGCCATCAAAGTCATGCAGAGATTTGCTGGGCTGCCTGAGACAGGCCAAATGGGTAGGTAGCCCCCCACCTGCTGCAGCCCTGCCTCTTTCTCCAGCCTGACCGCGATTCAGCAGTCTTTAAACTGCAGGAAGCGCCTGAATCATAGGAACTATGAAGATGCTGGTCTCAGGCCCCAGCCCTGGAGTCTTCCAGCAACTGTATTCCAGTAACCTGTACTGGTGATCTCACACCCAGGGTGTTTGCTCCCACTGTTGCAGTAGTGGACAGAGCAGATATGCTCCCTGCTGTCAGACAGCTGACATTTGGAGAGAGAAAGAAACACAGATCAAGAATATAAATATGCAAGATGATTTCAGGTAGTGGTGTTTGAAGAAGATAAAATACTAAGAGCTAGTCTCATTAGGGCAGGCCACTTTTTTTATGACAATCTTGCTATGTAGCCCAGGCTAGCCTCGAACTCAAGATCCTCCTGCCTCAGTTGGTGTGTGCTGGGATTCCAGGCCTTCTTCACCACACCCAGCTGGGCAGACCACTCCAAAAGATGTCATTATGATTATGATCTGAGACCACAAATAGTAGGACACGGTCACAGGAAAATGTGCAAGAAAAAGACTGAGTAAATGCAGATGCACTGTGCAGGCGCAAGCTGTCTGCCTGAAGTAAGAGGCAGGCTCAGGGCTTAGGCAAGAACCTCATTGGATGAACTTGAAAGGTGTTTGTTCCAAAGATGATAAAAAAAAAAAAAAAACAACCAAGAGGGGAGGGCTCAAAAGAGGGAAGCAACTTAATCTGACTTGCAGGATTGGTTTTGCTGTTTTATTTTTTTTGGGGGGGGTTTCCTCTTTGTGTTGCCTAGGCTACTTGAACATGTGATCCTCCTGCCTCAGCCTCACTGAGTAGACAGAATTACAGGTGCCATGCCATAGTGCCCAGCTCTGATTTTATCTTAAGTTTCTTCTGTGTGCTGGTGGGGAGTGTGGAGAACAGGAAGGAGTCATTTGCAGATGCTGACCAGCCGTAGGGGTGAAGATGTGGCCTGAAGTTGAATTCAGGGTGTATAATTTGGAGGTAGAGCTGAAGGCTCCCCTGTGGAGTTAAATGAGGAGGCAGAGAACTTGAAGAATCTTCAGTACCTACAGGGGAAGAATTTTTTTTCCCCTGCCCTGTTCATTCTCAGATAGCCTAGAATAGAGTGTGGCATCCCTATCTATGTTCAAGGTTACTGTTTGTCATCTCTATAAATGAAGTGTTGTTTGACCTCAATTTGAAGATGAAGTGACTTCTAGGATTGGGGCAGAGCTGGTAGGTAGATTTAACCTCAGAAGGAATGGCTAGCCAGCTACAGGGGCCAATGACCCCTGCGGGTCTGGTAACTGATTAGTAGCCCATGAGGATATAGAAGAGATGGGCAGCTTTCAGGGGGAGGGCATAACCTTTTGGAGTTCAGGCTTCAAAAGAAAGGGACCAGGTTGGGGAGATGGCCCAGTTGGTAAAGTGCTTGCCTTGAAAGCATGAGGACCTGAGTTCTACCTTCAGAACTCAGGTGACAAAAAGGCCTGGTGGCATGCCCTTGTAATCCCAGATCTGGGGGAGGCAAAGATGGCAGGTCCTTGGGGCTCACTAGGGCCACTGGCCAGCCAGCTTAGCCTAATGGGGGAGTTCTAGACCAAGTGAGAAAACCTGCCTAAAACAACAGCAAACAACAAACTAAAGCCAAACAAACCCAAGGTGGACTGCTAAGGGTGACACTCCTCAAGGTTAACCTCTGATCTCCACATACATGGGCACAAACTTGTACCTCCCTCCCTCACATACAAAAGGAAGGGATCTCACTTCACCTTTGGAATGCCTTTCTCCAGAGTCCACCCACTGGGGCTCAGGGAAGTGGTACAAGAGATCTAGCTTGAGCCTCTAAGTGCCTTCTACAGTGGCCAGTCCACCCAGGACCAGGTAGAGAGGGTGTCTGGCTTGAGCTGGTTTTTACAATGACTGTCTAGATTCAAACCCTAACTGGAGCCTTCTTGAGCCAGTTTTTTAACCTGAGCCTCAGTTTCCCCATATGAGAAGTTAACTGACACCATCATGAAGACAGACTGTCCCATTGCTGACCATGTTCCTGCTGTCTCCCACAGACCGGATAACAATAGCTACCATGCACAAGCCCCGCTGCTCCTTGCCTGACGTGCTCGGGGCTGCAGGGCTGGTCAGGCGGCGACGGAGATATGCTCTAAGTGGCAGCATGTGGAAGAAGCGTACGCTGACATGGAGGTAAATCCTGGTGCCCGTCCCTCCCTTGTGTCTGCTGGCTGGGCCCCAGCCTTACCTGGCTAGCCTGTTCATCCACAGCCAACTGCTCTTTTTTCAGTGTCCAGTCCTTCTCCCAGAGTTCCCCGCTGAGCCAAGAGACTGTTCGGACCCTCATGAGCTACGCCCTGGCTGTCTGGGGCATTGAGTCAGGCCTCACCTTCCAGGAGGTGGATTCTCAGCACCAGGAGCCTGACATCCTCATCAACTTTGCCAGGGCCTATCACCAAGACAGTTACCCTTTCGATGGACCTGGTGGTACCCTGGCTCATGCCTTTTTCCCTGGGGAGCACCCCATCTCCGGGGACACTCACTTCGATGATGAGGAGACCTGGACTTTTGGTTCAAAAGGTAAAACCTCCCATTTTCACAGTGGTCCTCTCCCTGGATCTGTCTGTGCTATAGAACTGGGTTTAAATTAATTGATAGACAAAGGCCATGTCAATCAAGGATCCCTAGAAGAACAGGACCATTAGGTCTGCATGTACAAAGATTTATTCTGGAGCGGGAGGTGTGTTAGCATGCATTGGTTCAATCCCCAGCAGCACAAAAACAAACAAACAGAAAAACAACTTTTTATTTTTATTTTTATGTGCATGAGTGTTATGTAAGTGCACTCGTGTTGTGCAATGCCTGCAGGGGACAGAAGAGGCTGTCACATCCCCTGGAATTGGAGTTACGGACAGTTGTTAGCTGCCCTGTGGGTGCTGGGATTCAAACCCTGGGTCTTCTGCAAGAACAGTCTGTTCTTAACCACTGAAGCAGCCCTCCAGCCCCAGAAAAACAACTTTTAAAGAGATGCACTTTTGTTTTTGAGACCTTGTCTCACTATTGTAGCATAGGCTGGCTTTGAACTTGCTACATAACCCAGGCTGTTTTAAAGAGATTTACTTTAAAGAATTAGTTCATGGGAATTATGAAGACTAGCAAGGTCAACATTTGTAGAGAAGGATGAAACTCCATCAGGATCAACACTGAAACAGAACCCTCTGTATTGGTCTGATTGGATGTGGTCTATCTGCACTGGGGTGGCTTGCTTCCCTGAGAGCAGTCAGCAGTCAACTCTCCAAAATACCTTCATAGCAACATCTGGACTGATGTTTGACCAAACTTCTGGGCACAGTCAAATTGACACAAAGTTAACCACTACAGCAGTCTTTCAAGTGCCCGACTCAGAGCTGGGCCTATGTAAAGAACCCAGCTACCTTTCTGTCCAGCTGTTCAGGCAGAAGAGTGACTGGCAGTTTCTATGCCCACAGTGACATAATTTCCAGAAATCACAGTAGAGGAAGTTCTCAGCTTGAGTTCCCAGAGGAGGTAGCCACCTCGAACTCTTGAGCAGGGAAGGTTCCTGGAAGCAGTGACTGTTTATTTAATATACACGCGAGCTGGCTGAGTGTTATGTAGGTAGACATGCGAGGAGTAACCAAAGGGGGACATGGTTTGGAACATTAGAAGCTGGAAGCTGAAACTGGCATCAGAGGGGACAATGTCAGAAGAGAGAAGGCCCTGAATCACAAAGCCTCTTTAAAAACAAGTGGGAGAATTTGGACAACAGGATTCTGAAAGCAATGGGGGCATATCAAACAGCTTTTTTAAAAAAAATTTATTATTTTTATTTTATGTGTATGCATGTATTGCTGTAGGTAAGTGCACCCGTGTCGTTCAATGCCTGCGAGGACAGAAGAGGCCATCGGATTCCTTGGAACTGGAGTTATGGGCAGTTATTAGGTGCCATATGGTGTTGGGATTCGAACCCAGGTCTTCTGCAAGAGCAACCAGTGTTCTTAACTGCTGAGCCATCTCTCCAGCCCTATTTATTATTTTTATTTTATATGTATGAGTATATGGCTTATATGTGCGTAAGTAGCTGCCATGTGGGTGCTAGGATTTGAACCTGGGTCTTCTGCAAGAACAACCAGTGTTCTTAACCACTGAGCCATCTCTCCAGCCCCTCAAACAGCTTTTTTATTGTAGAAATATTCCTGGATACATGGGGAGATGGAGTAGAGAGAGGCAGGGAGGCAGGAAGTAGCCACAGAATCCAGGTGAGAGATGATGGGGGGTGGTAGTGGAGGGATAGATTTGAGGGAAGTTGGGATGGGCTTAAATTGGGATTGGACTAGTTCCTCTGGTGACAAGTGAGACAAGGAGGTGGGATGACATCCAGGTCCAGCTCAGGGTCCTGGAAGATGGCTACTACTAGTATACATGGGGGAAGGAGGAGTGGGCCAGCAGGTGGTGGATGATGTAGGTTTGGGTGTGGATTTGGAATATGTGCATGTTCTGTTCAAAAGGCTTTAAGCGTTTCGCTCTAGAACTTGGACTCCTAACTCTGTCCCCAGAGGTGGAGCTCCAGATAGAAATTCTTATGTGAGCAATTTCTCAGGGGAAAGGGAAGCAGGAGAGGGCAAGGAGCTGAGCAAGAATGTGGTCTCAGCTGGAGAGAAGCCCGATCCCACGGACATCTACAGTAGAAACAGGCCTAGTGGGGGCCAGCTGTTCCCAGTCCTGTATCGACCAGTCATTTGCCATGGGTTTCTGGGAGAGCCTGAGTGGAGAAGGGGCAGCTAGGGCTGGGGCCTAGGCCCTAGGTATTGACAGCCAGTCACAGACTGCATTTGTGATAGCATGGCAGTGTCCTACAGAACTGGGGTTGGGGATGCAGCCAGCTGAGGATCTTGTGCAGGCTTGGTAAGCATTCTGCCACTGAGCTACATTTTCAGTGCAAGCAGGTTGGTTTCGAAGCTGAATCAACTTGGGTTCCTCCACTTGTAATCTGTACAAATGACTTAACCTCATTGCAGTGTTTCCTCAACTGAAAAATGGACTAAGAATAGTGCCCTCTGGCTATGTGGTTTGTGAACTTTTTACTTGTGGGGACCTGCTGCAGAGTGTTGCTCTCTGCATTGCCAGCTGCTCTCAGAGCTGAGCCTGGGGAGCCGAAGCTTGGTAAGGTTGCCAGGATGAAAGGCAATACAGAGCAATGAAGTTAAGAGGTAGGTGACTGGAGAGGAAGGCATTAAGAGAAGGAGCTGGGCATGGTTGATTGTACATGCCTGTAATCCCAGCATTTGGAGGCAGAGGCAGGGTGATTTCCACAAATTTGCAGACAGCCTGATCTTCATAGTGAGTTCTAGGCCCCCAGCAAGACCCTGTCCCTCCCAGCCCCTGCCCCCAAAGAAACCCCAAACCAAACACAATGGGCCCAGGGAAAAACAAGCTAAAAGATGATGAAGAATAAGAGTGAAGGAGGAAGTGGTCAGCCAAGGCAGCACAGCAAACACATCCAGTGAGTTACATGGCCTGGATTGGGCTTTCTGGGAACAACTGACCTTTTTGTGCTTGCATGCTCCATGGGTGGGGGACGAATCCTAAACTGTAGTGGAGTTGGGTGTGAGAAGGGCAGAGGAAGTGAAGACTGTTTAGGTCACTGACTGAGGAACTTGGCCAAAGATTAAGGGCAGAAAGCAGTGTGATTGGAGGCTTGGGGACCAGGCACAAAGAATGTATCAAGGTGAAATGTTTTGAGCATCTAGAATACCAATGTGCCAGGAAAAAGGAATTGGTGAGTGTGGATGTATGGATAGAAAGAAAGGGATGGATATGGATGCATCACTGGATGGGTGAGTGGAGTGGAATTCTGTCTTTGTCCTAGAGTTGCTGATCCAGGGTCATACAGCACAGGCCAGGAGGCAAGATAGGAGGATGGGGATCATGAAGCTATCTGCCCAGGTGTATGAGAAATGACAGGTTATGCTACATTGCTTGCCTTTTGGTTTGGTTTGATTTGGCTTTAGTTTTTGTTTTCAGAAAGGGTTTTATGTATTGTATCTTGGGCTGGATTCAAACTTGCTATGTAGCAAGTTATCTTCCAAGTGCTGGGATCACAGGCATGTGCCATCACACCAGTTTATATGATGCTGGGGATCAAACCTAGGGCTTCATGCATGCTAGGCAAGCACCTGAGCAACTGAGCTACATCCCAGGCCCTGCCTGTCTTGGTGAAATAGGAAGCACATTTGCCAGCATGTCACCTGAAGGTGGGGACTGAGGCTGTTTCCCGTCTTTGAGGGGCTGTGGACCTGGAACCCAGAGGAGCAAAGGAGTCACCTACTAGGCCAGGGGCAAAGAAGGGAGGTAATAACGAGGACCCTGAACACTGTCCACCAGGACTTCATGGGGTTAACCTGTATGGTTGTGTAATTTCCCCCATTTACATAATGTGAGAAGGGTACAGGAAGGGGTGCCTACCCCGGAAACCCCATGTGGCCCAAAGAGAGATAAGGCAAGGAAGGAGAGAGAAGAAAGAATGATCTGAGACATCAAACTTCCCCCAGTTTCTTAGAAAAAAGGATTTGGAGCGATAGGAAGACTCACGGCCAACATGGAAGTACATAATTCAAGTGCAGTTTGAGAAGATTCATCTCAAGACATGACCTGCCAAAGGGCTGAGGGCAGAGCCAGGAAGACGTTTAGCTTCTATCTCAGCTTTGCCTCTGACTTTGGCAACTCCGTGTTTCAGTTTCCCTTTTGTAAAATGAGGGTAGGAAATACAGCCTTGAGATGCATATGAAGTCAAACATTTGTTATTCTTAGAGTTTGCCTGATATATCGGGCATGGTGGCACACACCTGTGGTCCCAGTTCTTGGGAGGTGGAGGCAGGAGGATTACAGCTGGTTCAAATCCTGCCTGGTCTGCATAAAGAGTTCAAGGCAGCCTGGGCTGTATAGTGAAACCCCAGTCTCAAAAGCAATCTCCCCTCCCCGAGCCCAGTTATTTCACTCTTAGACTCAGCTAGCAGCTAAGGGCAAATTGCTTTTCAATTCACTAGTCATTTCCAATTACCTGGCTGTCAATATCGTTAACCCTGATTAGAAACTTCTACAAAGTAGATCAACATCTTCAGAAATCTATGTCTGGCTCTGTTAACTGTCTCAGTCTCTTCTGGGTAGAGGCTCTCACCTGCTAAAGCCAGAGATCGATGAGGACCAAGCATGAAGAGGTTCTGTCTTGACCCTGGTGGGATCCCTAGGGAAGAAGCTGCAGTGGTGGGAAGAGGCTGGGAGTGAGGCTGGGCGCCAGAGCAGCAGGCTGTGGTCTGAGAGTACATGCTGGGGAGTTCTATATTTTCAGTGAGATGGAGGAAAGCCAACATTGGGGAGGGGCAAGGACCCTGGGGAGGAGGAAAGAGAGGTTGTGGGCAGAGGAGATATGGAGCTGAAGAAAGGACCTGGAGATGTGGACCTGAGGAGGGGTGGGGATGGAAGGAAAGGGGGATGAAGGAGATCCTGGGGTGGGGATGTAGGGGAGCAGGATAGAGGTCTCTGACCATAGGCTGGAATTGGGAGGGGATGCTCCAAGAGCTGGGGTTTCCTAGAGAGAAGTACATGCACCCGGCAACCCAGGTCCTTACCCACCCCCCAGTTTCTATATTCATAGTTCTCCCTTCCTGGGAGGGGTGCTATATCAGGGTAAAGTCACCTTTCTTTTGTTCTTCCTTTGGGTTTCTTTAGCCCTATACCCTAATGTCACCACTGCCAAATAGGGCTACTCAAAAATATTTGCCGAATGGGTAAAGGAATACAGGAACCAGGAAGGGATCAAGGCAGAGCAGGCAGGGTCCCCTCCCTAGGGTCTTCTGACTCTTCCTCTTTTAACTCACAGACCCCAATCCCCAGGCTTCCTTTCCCAATGTGGGGTGGCTTCAGCTCCAACCCTCTGTTCTCTTTCCCTAGATGGTGAAGGAATTGACCTGTTTGCAGTAGCAGTTCATGAGTTTGGCCATGCCCTAGGCCTTGGCCACTCTTCTGCACCCGACTCCATCATGAGGCCCTTTTACCAGGGCCCTGTGGGCGAACCCAACAAATACCGTCTGTCCCAGGATGACCGTGATGGCTTGCAGCAGCTCTATGGTATGGGAGGGGAGATGCCCTGAACCAGCCCCTTGTGTGGCTCCCCTGTGGCCTGTACAGCAGGTCAAGGAAACCCATACCTTTCTGACTCTCCCCACAGGGAAAGTACCCCAAACCCCAAATGACAAACCCACAAGGAAACCCCTGGCTCCTCCTCCTCCCCAGCCTCCAGTCCTGCCCCCTGACAGGTGAGTCCCTATCAGCTGTGATCTTGGGTGACCAGCTCCCTTGATTTAGTGTCCTCCATTAATATGGGGCTGTGGGTGCTGGAGTGGTTAAGAGCACTTGCTGCTCTTCCAGAGTAGAATTTGCTTCCCAGCACCCATTTCAGGTGGTTCACAACCACCTGTAACTCCAGCTCTAGGTGACCTGACACCCTCATATGACCTCCTTGGGTACTCATATATAGGTGGCATACACATAAAAAAATAATCAAGGATGGGGAGATGGCTCAGTCAATAAAGTGATTGCCTTGCAAGCATGAGGACCTGAGTTCAGATCCCCAACACCTATGTGAAAGCAAGATGTGCCTGTAATCCCAGCACTGGGGAGTTGGAATTTGGCAGATCTCTGTAGCTCACTGGCCAGCCAGCTTAGCAGTGAACTCCAGGTTCAGTGAGAGACTCTGTCTCAAAACAAGGTGGAGAGTATCCAAGGAAGACATCTAAAGTTAACTTCTGGCCTGCACATGCATCAGTGTGCAAACATACACGACACCCACGCACCCCCCCCCCCCAGGACACAGGGATGGCAAGAGTCCTGCCTTGTAAGACTGTAGTCAAGAGTAAGGAATGGGAGAGCCCAACCTCCTGCTCACTTTTCGTTTCTCCCCAGCCCCTCCACACCTGTGCCTGATCGATGTGAGGGCAATTTTGATGCCATTGCTAACATCCGGGGGGAAACGTTCTTCTTCAAAGGTAAGTCACTTTGGATGGCTCTTAGATTTGCATAGTGACTCACCCAGTTTGCAAGGTTTCCTGGGAGATGGTACTGTTGGTGTCTTTTGAAAAAAAAAGACCAAGTCCTGGGTAAGCCATGAAATGGTCACCATAGATCTGCTGCGCAGTGTGTTTATATAGATGGATCCTTCCCCTAAGTGTATTTTTGTGGGACAGGAAGAACACAGCTCTCCCGGGAGCCACCCCCAGCCACACACTGGGTTGGCAGGGGGATACGACTGACTGGACAGGATTTCCTACCATATCATAGCCTCATGCCTTGTTCTCTTCTTCCCATGCAGGCCCCTGGTTCTGGCGCCTCCAACCCTCAGGTCAGCTGGTGTCGCCCCGTCCCGCCCGGTTGCACCGCTTCTGGGAGGGGCTGCCCACTCACGTGCAGGTCATCCAAGCTGCCTATGCCAGACCCGGAGACGGCCGAATAATCCTCTTCAGTGGTGAGTAGGAGTGGTGGCTGGCCCTGAAGTGTTTGGAGAGCTCTCCCCTTAGCAGCACGCCTTCTTCCAGGCCCCCAGTTTTGGGTGTTCCAGGACAGGCAGCTGGAGGGCTCCGCGCGGCCGCTGGCAGAGTTGGGGCTGCCCCCGGGAGAGGAGGTGGACGCCGTGTTCTCCTGGCCACTTAACGGGAAGACGTACTTGATCCGAGGCCAGCAGTACTGGCGGTACGACGAGGTCGTCTCGCGCCCAGACCCTGGCTACCCGCGTGTCCTGAGTCTCTGGGAGGGGGCTCCCCCCGCTCCAGATGATGTCACCGTCAGCAACACAGGTGTGTGTGGGTACCACTGGAGGTCCTCACCTGCAAATTATGGTCCCAGGAGGAGGGAGAGACGTGGAAGGAGGGAGACAGGATATCAGACAGGGGCGGAGGAGAGTTGGGGTGGAGAATAGGGGCAGGCCTGGATCATGCCCCTGAGATGTCTCCTCCCCTGCAGGTGACACCTACTTTTTTAAGGGCATCTATTTCTGGCGCTTTGCGAAGGGCAGTGTCAAATCTGAGCCGGATTCCCCCCAGCCCATGGGACCCAAGTGGCTGGACTGCCCTCCCCCAAATTCTGACCCACAAGTCCCCAGGTTGCCGCCCAAAGAGACCCCTAAGCCCGGAACCTGCGATTGTCGCTGCGAACTCAACCAGGCCACGGGCAGGACCCGCAGCACCGCGACCGTCCTGCTGCTCCTGCTGCCCCTCCTGGCTGGAGGTGTCTTCTGTTAAGGTGGGACATCCCAAGCGGAACAGCTCCCTGCACAGAAGGTGGCCTGGGTCTCCCACAGCTGGACCTACTGTGGGGTCGTGAGACGCTGCAGAGTCCCACTGTCTGGTCCCACAGCAGGACTCTGCATGCACAGAGCTGGGTGGATTCCTAGGAGAAGCGAAGCAACACCTGTCAGCCGGGCTGCGGCGGCGGCAGTAACCAGCACCTTCTCATCACTCTGCGTCTGGGTGACTGCCTGGGGCCGGTGTGGAACCTTCCTCTCCAGCATGGAGAAGAGCGGGAGGCCGAGGGAGCCACCTTGGAGGGAGGGGCCGAGCTGAATGGACGCAGCAGTGCCCTGCCCCACTCCCTTGCTCTTCACAAGCAAGCGGTGCTACACTCAGGTCTCCTATTGCTTTCCCTTGGATAGACCCTCTTTCTGGGGATGTGCAGTCCTCTGGCTCTCTAGTACTATTTCCTGGGGTGATAGTGACTGTCATCTGACTGAACGGTTATGCCCCTTCTGTAACTGTGTGCCCTTGAACCTTCTTACCCTGTTTTACTCCCATGATGTCCCACCTCAGTCTGCCACATGGTAGGAGCACAAACCAAGTTGTGCAACCTGAGGGCATGCCTCATGTCCTGGCTGACAGTGTTCTATCCCATGTCTGGCCCAGTTACCCTCATTTCAGGTAATGTTTATCCCAGGCCACAGCCTCTAGGCAACTCTCCACCTAGAACTGCCCCCATTCAGTTGGACATTTCCTTGCTGCCTGCTTACAGCTTTTCCTCTAGAACATCTTGGCTCTCAGTTGCACAGTGATGCTAGGAAGACATGGACAGACCCTCTCAGTGATGCCATTGCCCTTTACTTTTATTTTCGTTATGTATATGTGTACGCCTGTGTGTGGGTATGTGCAGGTGCCTGCAGAGGCCAAAGCCATCAGAGTTCCCCTTGAGCCATGAACCTAGGTGCTGGGAACAGTATTCAGGCCTTCTGTAAGAATAGTATGAGCTCTTGCTGCTGAGCCATCTCTCTACCCCCTGCCATTGCCTATTTAACACTCCTGGGGAGCCCTAGGGTGAGGAGTCGAGAAACCTGTGGCAGATGGGCATGATGGTGTACACCTTTAATTTCAGCACTTGGGAGGCAGAGGCAGGAGGATCTCTGTGAGCTCGAGGCCAGCATGGTCCACATATCAAGTTTCAGGCCAGCCAGGGCTATATAGTGAGACCCTGTCTCCAAAATAAACAAACAAACAAATAAATAAATAAATAAATAAATAAATAAATAAATAAATAAATTAAAAAAAAAAAAACCCAAAGAAACCTTAGCACACATTTAGAACCTAGGTCATTGCTTTTAGAATATTACACACCAAAATCATCTCATGGGTATTGAAAAATTCAGATCTTAGTTGGGTGTGGTGGTGCATGCCTTTAATCCCAGCACTTGGGAGGCAGAGGCAGGTGGATCTTTGTGAGTTCAAGGCCAGCCTGGTCTACATAGTGAGTTCCAGGACAACTGGGGCTACAGAGAGACCCTGTCTCAAAAAGAAAAAAAAAAAAAAAATTCGGATCCTATTCCATTACCCTGAATTCTCATTCAGGAGGTGGAGTCAAGAACATATACAAGACCAGGGATGTGAGCCCTAATGGGCAAGGGTGCTGTTTGTTTTGTGATGTTGTTTTTTTTATCTCAGAGACATCTCCTATATTCTCTGTGGCACCAGGCTGATGGCCTTAATTGAGTTCACCCCCTGTGGCTAGACCAGTTAGTGGCCCCACAGTGCTCTGGGAACCTGGGCTGTGGGCAAGATTTCCGGTAACCAGAGGAAGTTACTTCAGTTTGTGACACCAGCCCAGCATGGGGACAGAAACCAGGTGTCATCACCCAGCACATAGCCTGATAATTCTAGGTTAGCAGGAGCCATCTCCATCTGTGTCTCCCTCAGTTTACTTTCCAAGTAGGTGTGTGTGGATGTTTTGAAGGGTCTCTCATTTTTTGTCAGTCTTAGTACAGCAACAGAACCAAGCATGTGGGCAGAAGGCAGGTGTCACTGACCAGTTGGTAGCCACATAATTCTAATCCACCAGGGAGTCATTCGTATCTCTCAGATCCCTTAAGTAGGAGTGTGGTAGACATCATAATAGGGTTCTTTCGCTTGTCTTTTTGTTTTTTTTTTTGAGACAGGGTCTCCCTGTAGCACTAGCTGGCCTGGAACTCACTATGTAGACCAGGCTGACCTCAAACTCACAGAGATCAGCCTGCCTCTGCCTTCCAAGTGCTGGGATTAAAGTCATGTACCACCATGCCCGGCTTCACTTGTCCTCTTGAAGGAACAAGTTCAGTCAAGAGACATAAACATTCTGAGCAGTTTATTTAGTAAAGCAACAGGACCAAGGTAAGCTAAGTGAGCACTCCAAAGAGCCACATGGGCTACTCCAAGGTGGGAAGCAGCCTGATGGGCTCTGTGTTGTGGATTTTAAATGAAAATTTTATGAATATTTATGAGGTGGGTAGAATATTCATCAAGCAAGTTTCTATCCCAAATTCTGCTGAACCAGATTTTCCTTTTAGGGCATTTCCACCCATTATCTCCACAAAACGAGGGGAGTGTCAAAAGGATACAGAACTTTTCTCACTGGGAATACATAAGTGAAAGTTCTGGTGCCTTGGGTTCTAATACAGTGGGAACAACCTAACTGCAGCTTCAAGGATGAATCAACACTAGGGGGCAGTCTGGTCTTCAGGAGACAGTTACCAGAGATGCAGCTGTAGATTTCCTTGATCAGCTCCTAACATCTTGTGTACAGCGGTTGTCTGGGTCATTTTCCTGGAATTGGAGGTTTTCGGAAACCATCTCACAACTCAGTGTATTGCAGTTGGCAGTTCGATGCTTTAGAATAAAATGTGACAGGGCAACAGTACCTAGCATGTGTTCCTCAGAGGGGCTTCTCTGGTGCCAGTTAGAAGAGCCTGCCAGGATTGAGACTGGCTATGTTGTGGTTTTTGTTTGCTTTTTAAATTTTATTTTTATTTTTTTTAGACAGGGTGTCGCTATGTAGCCTCGGGACGGGCTGAAACTTGATATGCAAACCAGGCTGGCCTGGAGCTCTCTCTATAGACCAGGCTGACCTCGAACTCACAGAGATCCTCCTGCTTCTGCCTCACTATTGCTAGGATTAAAGGTGTGCACCACACATCTGGTTGTCAGCGTTCTTTTTAAAATATATTTTATTTTAAAATCATTTTTATTTTATGTATATGCGTGTATTGCCCATATCTATGTAAGTGCACCTATGTCGTGTGTAGCCCCCAAATTACTCAGTCCTCTGAAAAGCATGGGCTATGCAGGGAACCCTGGAAAAACAGGTGGAGCCGCGCCATTTTGGAAGACGAGCTAGGACTGTGGGCCGGGGGCGGGGACGGATAAGAACAGCAAACAGCCTGGGTGCCCTGCCTATGGATACCCTGCCTGTCCCGTAGGCTTTGCAGGACGAGAGGAGGGATTCAGACTGTGGGGTGAGATGGCGGGTGGACACGGCTCAGGAAAGCTGATGGAGACTATGGTTGGGCTTGAATGGCCCAGTGGTTTATGAGAAGCTGTTTCTTTGTAAGTCACCCTCTCCCAAATGTCATATAAACTATGCAAAATTCAAACAGAACTGTGTTAGGTTGGTTTTATTAACCAGCGTCAGAACCAGGAGACCAGGTGACTGAGGACCAGTCTCCCATAGGGCGGGAAGGGGAAAATTTAGTGAAACACCGTGCAGTAGTGCCCAAGGAGGTCAGAAGAGGATGTTAGATTCCCCCTGGAATTAGAGGTACAGGTGGTTGTTAGCCACCATGTGGGTGTTGGGAATCAAACTTGGGTCTTCTGCAATAACAACCAGTGCTCTTAACTGCTGAGAAAACTCTCCAGTCCTTGTTAGTGTTCTTGACTTTGCTATTTTAACCCTGACATTCACTTTGGCTCACACATTTGTTTTTGCCATAATAGGAGGGGAGGGAAACTAAACCTGACTCAAGAAGAGAAATAATTAAATATGATTAAAATAATTAAAAATGATTAGAGAAAGTTTTCTTTATTTTTTATTTTTTGGTCTTTTTGAGACAGGGTCTCCTTGTAGCCCCAGCTGTCCTGGAACTCACTATGTAGACCAGGCTGGCCTTGAACTCATGGAGATCCACCTGCCTCTGCCTCCCGAGTGCTGGGATTAAAGGCATGCACCACCACGCCCAGCTGAAAGCTTTTATTTCTTGTGAGTGTTGATGGATCAGGAGGAACAGGAACTCAGTGACTGTTCCAGAAGGAACTGGAATCCAGGTTTGGAAAAGTTGTGTGTCTGTGCTAAATACTTTTAAAAGGTATGGGACCCACGTGGGTGAGCTGCAGAGGGTACGGAATGGTGAAGGAGGGGTGTTGTGAGGTCATCGGTTTCTTCAACTTCCTAGAAAAGGTTCTTCAGCTCTAAGAAAGCCAACTAGTCCTGGACAACATCCCAGAGCCTATCTAGAAGCCCTGAATCCTCAAACCCTCACCTCTTTCAAAGAATGCTTGGGAGCCAGCTTGCCCTCCTATTCAGGCTTGCTTTGCTGGTAGCCAACTTAGTCCCTCAGGCCATCCCTGTGTCCTTTTTCATCTTTACTTCTGCTGGGCTGTCCTGTCACTCTAACACTGTCCTCTTTAATAAAAGTTTCTCCTCAGTGTCAGCACCCTGAAGTTGTGGTCCTGGCTGGGGGGGGGCGGGGGGGAGAGGGCAAGGCTGGTATCTGGAACTTGGCAATGTGTAAAAGTCATCCAACTGGTACTGGTTTTGAAGACATGAGAGGTGCAAGATTGAGAGGGCCATGGAGAATGATTGAGATCTGGTACCCTGTGGCAGGGTCAGAGTACCTGAAGAGAAGACATTGGTGAAGGTGCAGCCTCAGGTGCATTGGAGACCCGGGATATTAGAGATGCCAGAAGAATTTGAATTTGCACCTCTGGATTTGGTTTTGCTAAGTATGTAGCCA